GTTCAAGCTAACCAGCTTAGACTAACCTGCAAAGATTGAATCGATTCATCCTTGGGCTTTTTGACTGTCTGTACTTTGCCTAACCGGCTATCTCAGTTGCTTGCCTGCAGCTCCTCAGGGAGTTCAGCCCCCAATAATTCCCACTGCTTAAAACAGGCACAGCTGAGGGGAAATTGTTTCTCTACCACATAGCACTACAAGGGATATTTGAGATGACCACACACACACACAAAAGTTGTACATCTTTATTATTTGAAACATCCATTAGGCCAAATTTGTTGTTTTTAAAAATTGCAAAGGATGTTCTCTGGCAGGTAGAGCTTCTCTTTGTTCTCAGTGAAATTGTGCACAATTAATCTCAACAAAAATGAACTATTTCTTTAAACTCCACCATCTTTCATGTGAGCCAGTATATTAAAGTTTCCATTAAGGAAAACTGTTTCACCTCAATCTGCAGAATTCATTGAGCCACATTAAAGACATTGGACAAAGGAGATAGCAACTTGTAACATATTTGGATTTGCAGATCACCTTTGGCACAATCCTTTAAAAGAGGCTCTAAAAAGAACTAAGTAATCACATAGCAAGAAGTAAAATTTTGAGTTGGATTACACATTAAATTCTAAAAAAGACCAAGAATAAATCATTATTTTTCAACCAGCTGCTTTGAAGATTGATCTGATACTTATGCTATTTGTCATATGAATTAATACTCTGGAAAAGGGAGGCAAAGAGTGAGAAAGCAAAATGTATTTAGTTTAGCTGAGATTAGGCAAGGCTCTGAGGAACTCCAGAGGGAGATAACACAATTAGGTGGCAATAGAATAAGCCAGTAGTAGGTAAGCTCAAAAGAATAGAGTAAGGATTCAATACGTAGTTTCACTGAAAAAAGATTTGTATCTCAAATGCTAGTTTCTGCCAGTGACATAATGAAAGCAAAATGAATGCTTCTTTCAATCTGCCCCTTCCAATTAAAAGAAATAAAATCCCAGCTATGTAACTGAATGGGAAAAGATCCCAAAAACGTCCACTTTGCAAGGCCAAGTCAAACCACAGGGCACTGTAAATAATGTTCTGCAGATGCTAGGTTAAAAATGAGACAAAACATTGAAAGATTCTTTTTTTGCAAAAGCAGAAAGTGTTCAGAATAAAAGGTAGCATGGCCCAGGCATCATTGACAGCATCTTATACAAAAAAAAAAGCAAGTCCAGAGCTAAGTGGCTGATCCTAGCCATAGGCAAATACATGGCAGGAAGGTATCCTTCTCTTGTAATACCGACTCACTCCATGAAAGCTACTGCAGCAGAATGACTGAAGTTGCCTCCGCCTGCTCCAATATTTTCCCTCTCCTAATCCCAAGTTAAGGCTGGTGATAGGAGGACCAAGTTAGCTGTATGATTTCTGGCTCTTCTTGTGGCATATACCTGTTTCCTTATGTGAGAAGGACTGCCATCTACAGAGCCATCATGAACAGGAATGTCTGTGCATATGTTCATAACATATGCACTCACTGGTCTGGTGGCCAATTCTGTTTGGCCTGCAGAATTACACTGATTCCTAAGCCAGAAGGCTTACTGACCTGGTGGAGGGAGAGGACCCAGATTTCATAAGCAGGCTTTTTAACAAAGGGCAGTTTATCCTGACTTTGAGATTTTTTGAGGTTAAGTACAAGCACTTAAAAGTAAAACAAAGAAAAATCCTTTGTTAAGGGGATCTATAAACCATTAGATGAGATAATGATTGAACAAATGTTTTCGTTTTGTTTCAGGCAGAGAGTTTGGCATAGATTCTATACATTACTAAATTTCCATGAAGAAATACAAAGTTTAGGAGCCCACTTAAAGGGAGAGAGAAGGGGGAGGTAGAGAAAAGTTCATATGCTGCTTTTGTACAGTATTCTGGTTGGCAAACTTAAATTTGTTTATTTTACAGTGGAAATACAGACTTCAGGAAAAAAACAAAAATGATGAATGCTTCAATTTTATCCAGTTGACTTTAATGTTCTAGCTTCCAGTTCCTAACATTTCAGTTCACATGCTCTGTTAATATCTTAACTCGTGCTGTAGTCCAGATTTCTTTGAAATGCTATGCGAATCACATTACTACTGAAAGAGATAAATATATATAAAACTGTTTATTGTGTGCACTGCTAACACAGAGCAAACAGTTGCTATGCGAGCTTATTTGTAACTTAAATTTTATACTATATCTCAGTTGTTACAGAAAGCAACAAATGCTTCCCACTGTTTCAGACTGTGGCTTGAAGCAAGTGTATAATGCCATGCATCGCTAAATCCATAGATTGTGAAAATATTAGAACAAAGCATATCTTGCTTAGGTCTCATTGAGTTGACAGGAGTCTACCTGCACAAGCAAAGTATTATTTGACATTCCAGATGAATTTGGGGAGCATATTTAGATAAAGGAGTGGATCTGCTAATCAGTAATGCTACAGCCTATGCTCCCCCTGAGAAACCAAAAACATTATCTGCAGTAAAATCAAAATAAGTAGTTGTTCTTTACCATATAAAAGCTTATTGGATTTCAGAGTGAAAAATATGGGGGAAACACTAGCAAAGCCTCAAACAAACCATTCAACTGCTGCCTCTTATCAGTACTGGCCTTAGTGTGGTACTTGGCATGGAAAACCATACTTCCACAACCAT